TCGAGATATTGGTCTTTAATTTTGGAAATTTTTACATAAAAACCCTTAGCAACAATCTGGCGCTTTTTATTATTATTATTATTAATCGCTCTTGTAATCTATGTAACAACTGCTTAGACATGTAAGCATTAGATGGGGTGTGTAGATTTTTCATTGATCAATGAAAAAGCTAACAATTTTAAACCTTATTATCGTGAGCAGTAAGCTATATCGTTTTATGGAATATCGTAAAGAAGTTGTTGAGAACAGCTAACTCTACTAAGATTCGTTGTCAAATCAGCGTACACCGAAAATTGGGATGGACCCTGGGTTAGCAGTTTTTCAACTTTACTTTCACAAATTTTTTAAATAAAATCAAAGCACTTTTGTGCTTTTCTTAGTCGTTTTTGGATACAGGTATGTAAAATAGGTAGTTCCAACTAAAAATTCACAAGTGAATACGGGAACAGATTTATTATATGCCAATTAAGTATCTGAGGAAGTATTGAATAATATTGATGAAAAATAGATAAATTATTTTTTCGAAATGAAAATTTCATAAATTATTATTAAGAGGTTTTCAAAAAGTAGTGAACTACAACAACGACAATTTATTTTTATATTATTTTAATTAATTGAATTTTTGGTTGACCATACAGCTGTTTCGAGTATTGCCAAATACCCATCATTAGTGGTCTTAAAATTATTCTTATATTTAATTATTTGTAAATAATTTTTTGAGACTGCAATCATTTATATCTAAATATCTAACTATAACGATATAGGGTTTTTGAAACATAAACATTCCTGCTGCGTCATTCAACTGGCGTATATAGATCCAGATTGAAATTATAAAAAGTTTAATTTCTTGATACATGTTTTTTTTTTGCTAAAAAATTTAACGATGCTTTATTGCTGTATGAACGGGTTAATCAATTTATCAATATTTTTATCAATACTACATCACAGCTATAGAAAATATATCTGTTAGCCAACTCTTTCAAACCACTTTAAAAACGTTTTGTGCCTGGCTAAAGTTAATATACAGTAATGTATTATTTATATGTCTTTATATGTGTATTATTTTAAATGATAAGTTCATCCATACAATACTCTTAAAATAATTCATACATACTCGCACATATAAGTATAGTAGTTTTTATAATGCCACGTCAGTACTATTTGTCATTCTATATTTTTATTATCGTAATTAAGTAATTCTGTTTAAAATGTAATTTTGGTTTAAGTAATTGAGTAATGAAAATCATAGCAAATTTTTATTGTCAAATCTTAAGTTATAATGATAAATATTATACATACTAGCATTATCAATTGGTTGTATAGATGAATTTATTGTAAATTATTTGTACTTGTTGTGCTTTTAAGGGTGTTCAACCCATTTATACAATCAGTTAATGTAATTACTCCAGCTTTGAGTATTTAGTGACTCATGTATTTCTGTATTAAATAGACATACATTCCAGCACAATTTTCATTAACTTGTCTATGTTTAAAAAGTTTGGGGTTGTTTCTACAAATAAGCGGAAACAACCCCAAGCATAAAATCAAAAATTTTTATTTATGAGTCATCACAAAATGGTCTCTACAGTTCTATCAAGACATTTTCAATTTGCATATCTTTAACAGTTGTAAATTTGTGGAGTGTATTTTAAATAAAGAAGATATCGAAAACCAACAAATAGTCTAACTGCGAAGATTATAGTCGGTCATTGATGTTTTTGAAGATGCATCTATTTAGAAAATAATGTTCCCATAAGCGAAAAAAGTTGGTCTGTTACCAAGATCACAATGCATTATATTATATAGTTAGTTATATTTATTATAGTTAAATGCATAAATTAAACTTTGAATGGCGTCCCCAGTCACTGAATTTGCAAGGCTTTTAGTGACTACTAACTACTCGTAAATCTCAAAATAATATCTCAGACTCAGAGACTTCATCCAACAAAACAATGAATTTATAAGCTTTTATTTTTTAGGGGATATATATTATTAAACAGAGTCGAGTATTGTATCGAAACATTCTGTTTTAGTAGTTAATGTAAGCAATTACCAAATCATGTTTTAAATGTTGGAAAACCCCATTCACTTTCCTTCAAAACTTTAATAGGCTTTTAAGAACTTTTAAGTGTACACTTTAATGCAATTATCATAATTAGTTCAGTATATTATTTATTTATATTAGATCACAAAAATTTAAATTTTTAGGCAATAATTTATGACATTTACCCATTTTAAGAATACTTCAAGTATTCGAATAATAAACACGCCTTTTCATACGAATATGAAGTAAATTATCGCTCTATTGAATACGATTGTTCCTCTTATAAAAACATAAAGTGTTCTGTACGTTTGAGGTTCGGTATCTGAGATAGTGTATATTTTAACATAATGTATAAATTATCTATACAAACTTTTACAGATATTTGCACAAAATATTATCTTATCAATATTGTTTGCCAGATTAAAATCATAAACAATGTATGGGCAACAGTCAATTTTTTCTTAAAGTCAAAGACAACAACCTGTACGCATATCTTTAAAACCATTTACTACTTCAGAATATATATTTAATTTATTGTCTAAATATATACAATGTATATATACATTTATTTTATAAACAAATAGAAACGTTTAATTTTAAATAAATGAAATGTTTTCATAGTTCATTGCTTATCATAAACTTCATGTGGTGCTGTACTTGAAAATAGTCAATTATTTCGTAATATTTCAAATTATAATTTATAACGCCACTAATTTTTGTACTATTAGTACTTATAATCTGTGACCTATATTAATAACCTACGTCAATATATTTTTATTA